CGGATTATTTGGAAGAGAGGGGAGGCGTCTTAGGCAGGTAGGCTATATTATTATTATTATTACTACTACTACTACTTAGTAGGCTTTGCTGCTATGCAGTTCAATTAATGTGGTGGGCTTATTCTTTTCTGAAGTCTAGTTTTAAGAATAGTGGAAGTTACACTTTTTTTTCTTCCTCCATTTCTGGCGCCCCCTGGATGTACGGCGCCCTTAGCATTGGCCTATACTGCCTATGCCACGGGCCGGTCCTGCCCACAGAGACTTAGCACCTCAGCTTTTCAGTGTGTTTTAGCCTCATTGAGCCAACTGTTATGGTTTTATGCCTGCAGCTTTAATGTTATAGTTCAGCCTATCTCACTCTTATTTCCAGTAGCATGGGGCAGTTCTGATAAATCCACAGTACACTACCTGGTCAGCACTAAACAGCAGAGGCAAACAGCCACTAGCCACTAGTCAATATATTCAACCAATTAGCAACTAAATGGACAGATATTTCCCTCAGGAGTTGATCCAAAACAGAGCTAAAAGGGAGGGGATACTGAAGCCATGTTTACTCAGTGAACAGAAACACAACTCCAAACAAAAGCTAATGTTGCTCTGTTTCTGCTGAATGTGTACATAGAGTGTGTACAATTATTAACAATTTTTAGGCTTGTAATGAAAGATAAAACTAGTCTCCAAATAAACCAGGTGAAAACATGCTGAATGTACAACTGTCTGACCGTGCTGATAAAACCTGTAAAATGTAAATTATCAAGGAAATATTCATTCATTCATTCAAAGTGAACTTTGTGGCTTTCCAGTAAAGCTGTGCATGTCCTGTCTCAAGCTTTCCTTTTGGTCTGTCATAGAACGGCTGTTTGTCAGGCAAATGTGCGCTAACAGAACTGAAAGCAGATCACACTTTGCTGCAATGCTGATACAAATTAGTGATAATGATAATAATGCAAGAGGTTCTGGCTTCCCACACATACACACACATTTTTCAAAAAATGACTCACTTCAGGCATCAAGAGTAGTATTCTTTCATTATTGGTTTGTTACATGAAGGAAAACCTCTGTATGTACTGTATATCAAACCTTTTCCTCAGAAGGTGACATTTAAAAACAAGTGTTATTTTTGAGAACTCTTTGAACATCAGTACATGAAACCTGACATTTAGAAATGTTGCACAATAATTTACAAATGTTGTTTTTCAGAAAAAAAAATATATATATATATATATATATATATAAGGATGTATATATCCTATTATGTTATATATAAAGTGCATGTGAACAGTGTCACTTCTGTGCCATGTTCTCATTTCTGTGCTTTTGCAGTTGTGCTTTATATAATTCTGAGCACATGCATTGCAACACTGTTCCTGAAAAAGGGAGAAGAGATATATGCATGTACTGTAACACACACAGAAGCGCAAAAGAAGAGGTTTTTTTTTTTGCTGACTCTAGCTTTTGTGTCTTTGTAGCCATGGCGACAAAAAGGTGTTTTCATGTCACGGCCTCCATTTGGCAGTAAACTGGTTCTGGGATAGAGGACTGCGTGACATCACTGTGTTTGTTCCCCTGTGGAGAAAGGAGCAGCCGCGACCAGAGGCGCCCATCACAGGTACGGTCACCTGACTGAACTGTGAGGCCAGTTAGAGGGAAATACCACCAGCTGTAAGAGTGCCCTGTAGTTATTCTTGTTGTTTAGGACAGTTCAACCAAGGTTTGTGTGCACGTGTAGTATCATCCTTACCTCTGACCTTATCCAACTGTGATGTCACATTGTATTATAATGATGGTGTCACAGTTGGTGAATCCTTAAAGAGAGATGAATTACCTGTTAATATAGAGTAAAACTCATGCTAGATTTCAACAGGGTGGGTTTTTTTTTAACCAAAACAAATTAGTGCTCTAAGACAAACCCAGTAAAACTAGCCAGCTATTCATTTGCTACTTCATCAAACACATCAGAGATTTAAAGCTACATTAATTTGAACTCTCTTAACACATTCATGTGACAAAGAGCAACATTACTACTCCAGCAAGGTTGATGCTAGATGCTAATTCTGTCTGTCTGATGTTTGGGGCTGGGCAGGTACTGTAAGGTGGGTATATCAGAGTTTTGCCGCTGAAGACAGCTGCCTGCCAAAGAAAGTAGTGTTTATGGGCCACAAGTTGTTAAATACAGCAGAGCATCCTCTGGAAGGCGATATAAATATTGATAAGTGCAGCTTTAATTGGAGTTAAGTTGAATCTGCAAACACAACCTTTGGCTGTGGAATTACATAATCAGCCCTCTTGTTGCCCTGTCACTGACAGGAACATTTGTTTTAACATACAGTATATAAATGGTGTTTTTAAGAAAATGTTACAAATGACCAATTAACCAAAGTATTTATTAAAACAGGATTCTCAGTGGATCCCGCTTGAGCCGTCCACTAAATTTCAACTACTGTCACTGTGAAAAACATATCAGGCAAAATAAAATGCGGAGGAGAAGGTTTTTTTTATTTTGTGTGTCAAAAATAAAGTGAAAATATTGAGAACAAAGTTAAACTTTCACATTTTAACTCTATTGTTGATATTTCCGATTTATTTGCAACACTCAAAACTCAAAAAATGTCCTCCTTTTATTTTATTTTTTCTTAATGTGGCCTTTGATACTCAGTCATAAGAACAAGTATAAAGTCCCCATAGAAACATCTTAAACAATGGGGAGGAAGTAAAATTCTAATATGCTCTTCCCGTTGTATGACGTCAGGTAAAAACAGGGTTTTTCCTGAAAGCAGACATCAGCGGTTTACAAGGAACTATTATTAGCATGATCAGTTCCACACCTTTTATGACATCAGCAAATACCTGTTTACTAGCAGGAACCTTTTTCATTGTTGTTTTCATTGAGCATTAATCTTGATATGTTAAAAAAAACACCAAAGTGTGTGTACCTTCATATAATAAATTCATGAAAATGTTTCAGTCAGAACCAGAACACGTCTTTCATTATATTAATCTTTTCACAGCTATAATGTTGACTGTTGGTTTAGTATCGTGAACCCACTCTGCATACTAGGCCACAAAATCACCCCAGAAAAAAACAATGCAATCGTTTTCCTTATTTATTTTGCATTTCTTAGTCATTTTGGGCACTAAAAACAAAAAAGTGAGACTCTATCCAAAAAGTTCAGAACACCTTTGGCAGTAAAAGAGAATCCAGTCAAATGAAATCAAACATTTCAATTGCACTTCTAAAATGTAATAAATAAAACATTTACACATAATAGAAAGAGGAAAGTCAGTATAACATGCAGCACAGCCTTTGTAGTAGCAATAGCTCAGACCTGCTGATCTGTGTGTTGGTGCAAGATGATGAAGCCATTTGTTTGATTTGTATGTGAATACAAGAAAATCAAATACATCCTGAACCACTTCCAGTGATCACAGCCGTTTTCAGATTGGACTGTAGAAGTATCTATGTATGTATCTTTTCAATAAAAAACATTTATAAAGGTTTATATAGATATAGCTGAAGTTCAAAAACATTATATTTAACACTAATTACCGCTGATTTAAAAAAACTGGAGTCCTTGGCAGTGTTCAGTTTTACTAAAGGGTATTTACAGGTTATATACTGCAATCAAGCAATGGCTGATAAGTACTAAGTAAAACTAATTTTTCACCAAGATATCAAAACCTAAAATGTTCTCCCAAAACAGCTGCAAGGATTTTTAAACTGCAGACAGTTGTTATTAGAAAGACTATTATGGTAGCGGCTAATAATAACCCTTCAAATAAACATGTCTTTTAGATCAACATATTCTCCATGAGCTGGAGAGAAGAAAGATCTTGGTGTACACACCATCCCGCTGCGTGAACGGTAAGAGGGTGGTGTGCTATGATGACCGCTACATCGTGAAGCTGGCCTTTAACTCAGATGGCATCATTGTGTCCAATGACAACTACCGCGACTTGCAGACAGAGAATCCCCAGTGGAAGAAGTTCATAGAAGAGAGGCTGCTGATGTACACTTTCGCCAATGACAAGTAAGACTGAAGGCTACTTTCCAGTGTATGTTTTTTGTACTTATGAGTGGGGTCATGGATAACATCACATCATGCATTGCACGAATGTCACTTGATCCTTCCTGCATTTCTGTGCTGGCACAGGTTCATGCCTCCAGATGACCCTCTGGGCAGAAATGGTCCCACTATCGATGACTTTCTGAGGAAGAAGCTGTGGACCCCAGACAACAAGCTGCAGCACTGTCCATACGGTTGGTTGACTTTGGTTCCTTTGTTTCAGTGTAGTGCAACTATAGCACCACAGGGAAAGCAGCAGCTGTAGCAGAGGGTTACAACTGCAGCTGTTTCTAGTTAAAGTATGCTAATTGTGAATAATAATTTAAGATTTAAATAGACAACACACATAAAAACTTTATTTGTCATTTGTGCAGTGGTTATAGTGAAATTCTTTGGTTGTTCATCAATGGATGCTGCAAACAAACCACAAATAGATGGTCACTAGCATAATATATATATA